GAATATGGACGATTTTGCTGTCTAACTCTCTCTCTCTCTCTCTCATTTGTTCTCCAATTGTTCATGATGTTTGTGACTTGTTTGAGGCACAATACTTGGGGTGCTAAGCTCTTAAAGGTAAAATACCTACAAGATGCAACAAAGAGGTAATCTTCTAACTTACTTTTGTGATTCATATGTCAAATTGTATTCTAGTTGTAGGCTTCATGCTTTGGATAATTTTGTTGCATGTATAACTCGAGAAAACTTAGATCCAAAACTATTAGGGTTGTATGTGGACCATAGGAGTGTTATAGTACCAAAAACCCAACAAATACACGCCCTAATCGGTAGCTGTCTTGCTCCTAGAAGTGAATTGTTCATACTCTCAGAGATATTTGTTGTCAACATACCCTATCGACGATTTTCATCACATAAAAAACACCATTGACTTCTTCTAATTTCCTTTAAATACTTCCAAGATTCAAGATCAATTTTTTTATTTCTTTCATATATGTAAAATACTTTCTTTTTTGTGTGGAACTGTCAATAGACCAACAAAGTTTTTTAAGACTCACATTCTTGTATTTTTGCATGAAATTACTTCTAACGTGTTGAAGGCAGAAGTGATGGTATGCAAATGGCTCTTTCCAATCCTGTAGATTTTCCATTGCATTAATTATTCCTTTGTGTCTATCTGAAATAACACATAATTGTTTGTCTTGAACAACAAAGTGTCTGAGTTGGTAAAAGAACCAACCCCAACTATGTGAAGTCTCTTCATCAATGATAGCATATGCAAAAGGTAATATACTATTTTTAGCATCTTTTGTGACAGGAACAAGCATTTTCCTTTTATATTAACCCCTCAAATGACAGGCATCGACTGAAATAACTGGTCGGCATAAACGAACTGCATCATAAGCGGGTCCAAAAGCCCAAAAAACATATTTGATTGTGGCTACATCTTATGAGCTATTTGGACAATGAAACCACTTCACAACCGTGTTAGGATTTGAAGTCTACAAAGCTGCAATATACTTGGGAAACTCATCAAAGTTACTCTCCCAAGTTGCATAAATAGCCTCTATGGCTTTTCTCCTACCATGCCATGCCTTATCATAAGTAATATCAACATTCAGGGTATTTTTAATTTCTGAGTGTATATGTTTCACAGGATAAGCAACATCTTGTTTAATTGAATGGAGGATATATAAGACAATAGTTGCAGAGTTTAGACTTCTATTATTATTGCCAATACATGAACCAAAACAATTGTGTGTATCCACCCAACGCGTGATCTTTCACATGTGATGATTTGTCTTCTTAATTTCACGAATTTACCATGCACAACGTGATGTATAATGCATACTACTAGAGGTTTCTCCTTTATTTGCAAGAGTCCTACACTTTTCTACTCATAAGTTAGGCTTACTATCATACACTTTGAACTCTCTATTTTGTTTGATAGACCAAAGTTTACTGCCTTTTGTACTTGTAGCTTACTTTCAAAGTATATTCCTAACCTTATTTTGCTTTCTGACCCCTTCCAAACATCTACATAAATGCGGTCTTCCAAATCGACACTATCATCTTCTCCTATATCTACAACATCACTCATAAAGTTACAATTGGAGTTTCACACACACCATCATCATCATAATCACCCCCAACATTAGACTCACTACTAGTATCTTCACTATATAGCGAGTTGGCTTCATCATTATCTCCATCAAATGTATCACAATCAGGCAAAGGAAATGGTACATGTGACGGAATGGGCTCAAAATTACGAAGGAGATTTACCAAACTAGTATTTGTAGGCGGCATTATTTGTTCAACTTCAAATAAACTTGACCCCAATAATTTTCAACATTCTCAGCCAAACAATACATTACATCTAGACTTGAATCACTTACGACCCGTGTAATATTAGATTGACCAGCAAACTGATAGCATAGTGAAAAATTCAACTTATATAATGTTTTTTCAACTCCAACATGAGCATAACATAAATATTTAAATTTTTCATACCCCATTTTATGCCTAGTGATATTTAAAGAACTAAAAGTTGAATGGTCACCCTTTACGATACCATTCTCATATTAAATATTACCACCCCAATATAAAACAATCATAAATAGACGATCTAAAGTCATAATGATAAATAATACGTACTTATTTATAGATGAATGGATGATGAGCAAGATAAAGAAAAAAAGAACATAAGTTTGAATTTTTGAGATAATTTCTTCAGGATGGAATGAGGTGAATAAAACCGAGTATAAGAGTTGAAATTTATAATACCAAAAAAATGAATTGATTTGACAATTCACTCACTTACTTTGATTGGGTTTTCTTAAATAGTGACAATTGTCTCTATGATAAGCTAGCATTTGCAATGGAATCATGACCAACCTTTGCAGTAGAATCATGAAAGTGACAAACATTATGCTTACAATATTATATACACAAAAATGTCCCTTACAAATACATTATAATATATTTAAGTTGTATTGTAATATCGTTTTTAATTGGTTTTGTAATTTTGTAACGTTGTAACGTTGTAATATATTCAATATCGGTATCTATTTGAAGATATTTGTAAGATCTATTTAATGGCGTAAGTTGTTAAAAATAATACATAAGCTATAATCATATTTTTTGGACAAAATTAATTTATGTATAATATATTGCAAAGGTAAAACTTAAATAGTTTAATAGTAGAAGATTTAAATAAAAATAAAGACAAAAGATGAAGGGCTAATTATGTAATATCTAGGGGCTAAATGTGTAACATTCTAAATAGAAAAATAGAATTAGATGTAAAAAGATAAAAAAAAAATGTGGGCCATCTCTCAAAATCAACCTATTTCTACTATTCTTTTTCAAAGTCATCTCTCAAAATCAACCTATTTCTACGATTCTTTTTCAAACTAGCCTACTTCTACAAACACTTTTCAAAAAAGCCTAGTTTTACAAAAAAACTCTGTAGAGAAACCCTAGGAGTTGGAGCCTTTACATATGGTCCAAAATCTGAGACCTAGGGTTTTGAGCTGTTATGGCCACACATCACGACCTACTTAAAGGATGCACTGCGACTAATAATTTTGCACGCACCGCGACCAACACTTGGTCACGTCCTAACACTTGGTCACGTCCTGAAGCCCAACCAAAACCCTTATTCTTTTTTCATTAAAATAAAGAAATAACATACCAGGAAATATACATGAAAACTTGATTCTTTGCATGTTGTTGTGGATAAAGTGATGGTTAAACTTTCCTATTGAAAAGTTAAGACTATGTCAGTTGGAGGAAGATTGAATCGTTTATATTCTATCTTAGGAGCTTTACCGAATTATTTTATGTCTATTTATAAGGCTCCTATATGTATTTTTAAGAAAATAGAAGCTCTTCGTAATAACATTTTTGTAGGGGTTTATTTTGGATGAAAGAAAATTAACTAGGATAAGCTGGAGTAAAATGTAGGCTCATAAGAAAGTTGGTGATTTGGGGTGGAGTAGTCGTTTTACTATGAATAGAGCTATACATTTCAAGTGGGTGTGATGAGTTTTCTATAATCATGATGGTTTTCAGATTAGAATAATCAAGGAAATTTATGGTCCTAAAGGTCTAATTAGGTGTTCCATACCGTCTGACAAGAACTCTGTTTGGTTGGATATTTTGAAGTCTTTGGAGAATCTTAGATTCAAGGATATTAGTCGTTTATCTTTGTGTAAAAGGAAACTTGGTGATGATGAGTTGATTTAGTTTTGGGATGACATTTGGTTAATTAGGGGATATGACTCTAAAAAAACATTTTCATAGATTTTCTTCCCTTGATCTTGATAACCGGGCTAAGGTCAAATAGAAGTTGGGCCAACTCTCTTTAGTGAATTCATTTAGGAGATCTCTAGGGAGAGGGGGTGAAAGCACGCAACTGTGATCTCTTTAGGCATCTCTTGGTTCTGTTGTGCTTTCTCTTATTTCATATATATGGTTTTTGTTGCTTATGGGTTGGAGTGATTTTTCGGTAGCTTCAGTTCACTATTTTATTGATATGCTCAGTTGCTTCCGTCTTCGGTTTCTCCTATTCGTTGGGTTTGGTTGCTGCCTATAAAGGTCAACGTTTTTGTGTGACGGTTGAGTTTGGATAGACTCCCAACTAGAGTAAATCTGGATAGGCGCGGTTTCCTTTCTCTTATGCCGTATTTGTGATTTGATGCTGGAAACGACTTCACATTTGTTTTTTTCTTGCCCAAAGGCTAATAATTTGACTTTTCAAGTTATTAGATGGTGAGATTTGGTTACCACTGGTTTTGGTTCTTATGTTGATTTTGGTTGGGTTTAAAGATCTATGCCTTCAATCAGGAATCAAGAAGTATCTAGAAGCGGTTTTCTATTTTTTATGGTGGTTTATTTGGAGGTTAAGGAAATCTCAATTGTTCGCGTCTTCCCAGTTGATGGCGGCAATCGTTTTTTATAACATTGTTTCTCGGTCATTTCTTTGGTGTAATGTCATAGCTAGAAAATGCATAAATTGTGTTTTGTGGCTTTAAAACTCAAAATTAGCTCTTGATGTTGTTTGTGTTTGTGTAGTTTCTTACTAGCATTTTTGCTCAAATAAAATCCACCATTAAAAAAAAAAACAAATTCTTTACAAAATACACTTAACAAGGATTAATCAACACTCATAATACAATGACTTTCAATACAATAAAATTATAGTTACAATTTGGAAATAATGGACGACCAAACACCAAAACCCTTCGAAAAACAACCAACACCCGAAAAAACCCTAGAGCCAGGTCAAGATATGTTGGTTGGATGTGTTGGGTTCAAAACAAAACTTACAACTACAAATTAGAAACCCTTTTGGGACATTTTTGTGTTGTGTTCAGCCCCGTGCCTGCATGACTCGTGCCTAGTTAAGTTATAGTAGTACGAATTAATACTAATACTATAACAAATCCTATAAATATTTGGACTTGCTTGATACAAAGCAAATGAAACCCTAAAGCTTATTGATTGTTGACGCCATTGATCTCCTTAGTAATGGCAGGAATGCAGCTTGAACTCCTTGCAATTCCACCATTTTTCACATGGTCTCTCGGACTTAAAGATTTACCCCTAAGTCTAGTCTTCTTCAACAGGTCTCTCATGGCCTCAGCTTGACATAGAACCGGGTAAGCCCTATCGCGTTTATTGAAGCGAACACATGTGTTCATATGACTACTCAAGGCCTCTTCTTTGTTCCCTCCATTTTTCTCCATCTCTTCCTTCACTGCTTCTGAACACAGCCCGCATATCCACTTACCATAATACCTGTTGTGCACCTTTTCCATGTACTCTGGCGTGCACTCTTCAATCATGCCACAACATTCACACTTGGCATCCACCACCTCGGAGATTGTGGTCAAGGACTTGATATCAATGGCTTCTTTGCTCAACTCAAATGACATGTCTGACATGGTGCGTTTGAGTCCTTCAGATGCAAGTCTTCGTGGCTTGTTGAATGCATGTGGGTGATTGTAAGAGGTAACAATGGCGTCGCCATGAGGTGCCATGATAATTTACGACAAATTAACAACTGAGAAGATGATGAACTTAACAGGGGATTGTATGTGCAATGTTTTGATGATGAATGTTAGCTTAGTGTAGAAGGGAAGCAACGTAGGGGGGGTTATTTATAATGAGCAGAAAGTAGGGTGTTGTGAACCATGGCGATTCACATGTCGTTGTCAAATAAATGTTGGACATTATTAATCATGAATGTGCGGGATCTTTCGAGGGGTTTGATAAAGATGTCAACTTCTTAGTTAGTGTCGACATAATTAATATGTTCAATTGTTTTTAGAGATAATTAAGGATGCATGGGTATTCTAAATTATGAATTTTTATCGTCTTTTAGTTTGTTTTTTATTTTATTTTATTTTTTTTAAACTAAAAATCTAACCAACTTATAAACTAACACTTTAAATCCACTCATGTCCACTTTATATATATATAATATATATATATATATATATATATATATATATATATATATATATATATATATATATATATATATATATATATATATATATAGGAAGAGTAGTATGCATGGAAATAACATTATCAAAGATGGCAAAATTAAAACGTCAACAACAACAAAAACAACGTAGTAGTAGTAGTAGTAGTAGTAATAATAATAATAATATCTTAAAGTTTATTTCGTATTCATCATTGTAATCAGCGATAAAATTTATATTCTATACACTTAAATGTTGAGAAAATATAGAAAATTAAGAATTGTTTAATTTTATAAGATAATTATCTTTGAACCAACAACATATCCTATATATAAGGCCTTACATAACAAATAAAAAAAAGAGCAACAACAACGTAGTAAGTAGTAAATTAACTGAACATTTAACGAAATATTCATGAACTGTTCGACGAGAAGTTATTTCGGTTTCGTTTAGTTAAATGAAGGAACACGAACAATGGCTTCATTTATTTATTTATATTTGTTTAAGTTCCTTCGTTTATCTTTGTTTACATTTGTTCATTTCTTTTATTAAAAATAGATACAGTTTGTATATATTTATTCGTTTAAGTTAATTTGTATTAATTTAAATTCAAATCAATTTGTTTGTTTATGTTCATTTTAGTCGTTTGTATTCATTTATTAATGTTATTTAATTTTTAATTGGGTTTAAGTTTGTTTATGTTTGTGTTCGTTTGTTTTAAATTATATTTATTTATATTCGTTTATCAGTTAAATGAATGAATCCAAATATACTAAATTTCTTAGCAAACAAACAAAAAACATAAAAATTATTCGTGTTCGTTCATTTATCATTTAAAGTTAAGTGAACAAATACAAATAAGCCTTTGTTCCTATTAATTTGGTTTTTTTACAGCCTGGTCGCCGGCAATAGTGGAGACACCAAGCTCAACGCGCTTGGTATCACCGCTATTGCTTAGTCTTCCCCCAAGACTTTGCCCCGCACTCTATGTGTGTGTTTCGTTTCAAAATAATCCAAACTATCGATCTTTTAGACTGATCCAACAGCTATGTACGTTCTGGTTAGGTCAATGCATGACTTAATACTACCAAAAAGACCCGCAAGACTTTGCCCCAAACATTACAAGATGTAAAATTTCAAAATAACACATATATGGGTCCTACTACTTAATTGATGTGAAAATCAATAATCTCAATATTCGTTAAAGTAATAAATTGCATATATAGCTTAACTTTGGAGGCCGATCCGTAAAATATGATTATAATGTTATTTGTTTGAATTTGATTTTATATCCCTTAGGGCCTCTGTTTTCCTAGCATTAATTAAAATTAAAGTCGTAGTGTTTATGTGGTGTAAATATTGCTATTATAATTCACAATATAAAATAAAATAGCATAATCTTTAAAAAAAAAAAAAATACTAACTAGAATTCGAGTTGATGGACGAACGGTTATGAGGGTCCATCAAACTGCAGAGGGAGTTCACATGTTGATATACTGCAACCATATAAAACCTAACCCCCATTTTACACCACCAGCCTCACCAGACATCTAAAGAACCTTCTGTAACTTTCGTTTCACGTGGAAATTGAACCTCTGTGAGTCACAGAGATCATGAAATCAAGAGCTAAAAAAGGTTTGGAACCAAAAAGCTTTCGTGCATGCGGCAAAGTTAGGGTTTATTAATGCAAGAAACTGTGTGGTCCATAAAACCGATCGAGGTACTCGTGACTCCATATCTTCGCTTCTAAGTATCTGTGGACAGCAGTCACTTCAAGTCTAGTTTGCTTTTGATTCTTTCATCTGGGTTCACGAAGAAGGCGTCTCAACCTCATGTACATAAATTAAACCTATCCATGCATATATTCATATATATCTTCAGTATAATTAATTTGATTTGAGGTTAATTTGAATTCCAAACCCATCATTTTCTGATTTTCCAAAACAACTGGTCGGCATGATTTTGATTAATAGTCATACTTAATGCTCCAAATGTAAATACAGTTAATGGTGAGCATCAAGGCATGTCCATGGCTTTGAACCCCAAACCAGACCTAGCGTGATCACGACTTGGAAATGGTTTTATTACGACCATCTTGCTTAAAAATCATTTCATTATTAAACCTTTTCAACTAAATTACAATAAGCCCACCACTAAATCCCATTAATACTCCATAATTTCAGTAATCAGTTAATCACCACAGCTACCATTTCTCATTTAAAGGCTAAAGCTTAGAATACTAATGCACTTTGAAATTTATCATACCTTGAATGCCACCATTTTAATCATTTACACAATATAATGATATCATAGTCAGCCAATCAACGATTTAGTTAAACGATATTTATATCTCCATAATCGTTAAAATATTACATGTGTTACAATTCCTCCCTCTAAACTTGATTTCGGTCTCCAAATCACAAGATCAAAAAAGAGGTGCACATATTGCTCTTTTTATCATTTTTTCCATTTTCCAAGTTAGATTTAGTCCAAACGTATGCTTCTAAGACAAGCACAAAATCAATCATTTTTCACCTCAATGTTTTTATCTTTGGGCTCAAAATTACCATTTTTCAAGTTAGATTTGGTCCAAAAGTATGCTTCTAAGACAAGCACAAAATTAATCATTTTTCACCTCAATGTTTTTATCTTTGGGCTCAAAATTACCTCACAATAGTACAAAAAACTTTTGTTGATGCGGTTAAAATGATTTATTGATGCGGGTATTGAACCATACCAACAAATATTGCGTCAAAAAACATCATTATTTAATGGTGTGTTTATAAAATCACATCAAAAAATGACCACAGTTACACCAAAAAACATATGATTTTTTCATTAAAAAAAAATTTCTCAACAACCCCCATTAAATGCTAGAACAACATCATTAAATCATAAAAAAAGAACCACACCTAAAAAAGGTGTTTCTTTTTTATTTAGTTTTCTTCACATTTATATATTCTTCTTTAAACATTCGGTGTTCTCTTTTGAGCTTTACATAGCTTATCTATCACTGTGAGGATATCATAATTCTCAGAAAATTCAAACTTCTGTTTCTTAGTTCAGCCCCTTCATGCTTCTATAGCCTGAATGGTGAAACAATGGTTTGCCATGAGTTATTCAACTTGTACATATATAAAGTTTCACCAAAAAACTAAAAAAAAATTAAAACATTGAACTTACATGATTTGCAATTAACAGGCTAGAACCAACAGGTGTATGATCATCAACATTATTCTTTGTAAATTTGTTAGCCACTCTCATCATAACTTCTAAAAACTATGGCAACAAACACAAAAGAAAACGATATCATGATATTTTCAACAACATTTGAGAAAATTAGGCAAAAAAATAACACTTACTAATGAAGATTCTATTTCCACAACTTCAGGATGTTAAGCTGCACATTAATTATGGCCTTGACATTTTTTGCACCCAACGTTTCATAAGGACCGATCTAAATGAACATTAATCAATTAAAAGTTATTAGTTGAAACCCTAACTTAAGAAATCAGAGTTTCAGACATATAACTTTAAGAAATTTTATGATTCAAAATTGCTAAAACAGAGTATTAGACACACATACCTTAGAGCCTTGGTGGTCGGTTGATGACGATGTACAACAACGAAGATAATATTGGAGGTTGATGCCTCAAAGAGAAAAAAAATTCACCATGTTGTTGACCTGAAGTTGTGAATTGAAATTGATGGAGGGTGGTGGGGATGTCAAGTCCACCAAGCAAATTACACCATTTCTTTACAAATAAAACGTAATATAATGGTAAAAAAGGGTATCGATCCGGGAAATGGTTGTATTCAATCACCAATGTAATCCAATAGAACTAGTGTAATAAAACTAACTAACTACAATTAAACTAAAAAGGAGGGTTTTGTGATTGCTTGAAAACTAAAAGACTTGAATAACTAAAAAGCTTGGAATTAAACAAGATGGTGAGATGCTCAAATATTGGAGATAAGTGGCCAACCAACACAATTCAACGCAATGAACATTTATGTGTTTATCATTAGGTTTCAATATGATTCTTATCATTCATCCCAAATTCGTTATAGCAATCATGAAGCATGAAATGCCAAGATTCCTCATAGGTACTATGGAGGTTGGGAAAGCCCACAACACACCTTCTTTATCAAAATCAAGGATTCAATTGAAGCAATTGAACCCAAGAAAGTTGATTACCCTTAAGAATGAAGGAATCCTCAATTCCTAGAGGATGTCAATGCTTAAACATCCATAAAGGAGTCATGATCGATAAGTTAGAGATTATTTCTACCATCATTAAGCCATTGTTCTAAGTAAATTCAATGATTTAATGCTAAACCAAAGAAATAAACCAACAATTGCTCATTCAAGTACCAAGCTCATGATCAAAGTATTAAACAAACATAAGAAATATATCACCTAAATCATAAACATAAGATAAATGACAATCAATCATGAATCCTTCAAAACCTATAAATATCCAAGGGTTTTAGCCCAAGTCAACAAAAATAAAGAGATTAGCCACTCATGGCAACAAGATAACAATCACAAA